CATGGTGGTTAAGGCACTGGACATTCCCACATGGCTGACCACAGTGTAAGTCCTGGACCTGGTGGCTTTCTTTCTCACTCTGTCCGCCCCCCATGTCTCTCTCTGGTCAAATTAAAATGAATGAATAAATAAAGTTAAATAAATAATTCTTTTTTAAAAATAAAAAATGTTACTCTTAGTATTTCTCTCTCCCTCTACATTTCAGAGCTGGATTCATTCACATTGTGGTATGAACTCATAGGATAAATTCCTTCTACTTCCTTGCTAAATACCTGTTTCATTCTCACAAGAATGAAGGAACAATTTATGTTGTGTACATTTATGGCAGCCTTGAGAAAAACATGCTATCTATCTTCAATAAAATAACCATAAAACAAGTATATGGTTCTTCTGCTTTATGCTACTGAGAACTAGGAAACAGAAGCCTAATATAAAAACATCCTATGCAGTTTACAAAAAAGGATAAGCAGATTTATAGAAGCAATGTCATAGCAAATGGGCTATTACACATGTAAAAAAATTATAATCATTTATTAATAGTTATTTGTAGTCACTATTTCCTTAAAAAAGATAGTTTAGTTAATTTAAGAAAGTATTTTGGCAGATCACTTGTCCTTCAATGTTGTAATGCAAATGTATTTTCAAAGAAAAATTTCATTCTTAAACTAAAAAATTATGATCTTTCACAGTGTTACTGACAAGATTTACATGATTCATGAATCTAACTTTGGTCAAATACATCTACAGAGAGGCATAAAATTACCTTTAGAATGGAAATTTGAGAAAAATCCTTCTCTTCAAAATATGCATGTGTAATGAGTTGAAGTTTTGCTTGAAGTAAGCCAAAGAGAGGCTTTAAAAGGAAAGAAATAAAAAAGAAATTACCATGAGGTTGATAAGAGTAAGTCAAAATACTACAACTTTTTAATTTGGAAAGAAGGGGGAAAAAGGTAGTAACTCAATTTTAGTGCCATTGTATTTACAACTGAAAGCTGTGCTGTTCCCTGTTCTAGCTCTTTAGATCCAGGTGAAAACACCTGTAAACACTCACAGGACACACCCCACACCAAGTTGTAGATCTGAACATGGTTATGTGAAAAGACAGTACATCCTACATAGGTGTTTTAAAGACTAAACAATTAAAAACATTTAGAGTGGGGCCAGCAGGTGGCATGGTGGTTAAGCTGCTAAATTTCCACATGGTTGACCATATGTGAATCCCAGACCCAATGGTTTAAAAATCACAACAGGGGACCAGCAGTTGGTGTAATGGCTATGTCACTGAACTCCCATGTAGTCAACCATAGTTTAAGTCTCGGACCTGGTGGCTTAAATTGACGCCGGGCGCATGTGTATGCATGCCCAAGATTCCAAGAGGAGAATGAAGGAGAAGGGATTGCAATCACCCCCAAGAAGGGTGATTTCTCGCTTTCTGTCTCTCTGTCTCTGTCTTTCTGGTGAGCACACATGCCCTATAGCAAAAAAAACTCAAAATAACTAAATAAATTAAAATTAAAATTAAAAAAATCACGACAGTACCCAATAGCATGTTTAAAACATTGTACACCATGACCAGGGATGCAAGGATGGTTCAACATACGCAAAAACATAAATGTAATATACCATATTAACAGAAAGAAAAAACCATATGATCATATCAACTGATACAGAAAAAGCATTTGATAAAATACAACATCCCTTCATGATTAAGACTCTCAGCAAAATTGGCATAGAAGGGACATTTCAACACAATAAAAGCAATATATATGTTTTTTTAAATAAAAAACCATTGCTAACATCATACGTAATGGAACAAGACAAGGATGACCACTTTCTCCACTCCTTTTCAATATAGTATTGGAAGTCCTAGCTAATGGAATCAGACAAGAGAATAAAATAAAAAGCATTCAAGTAAGGAAAGAAGTGAAATAATCTGTTTACAGATGACATAATTATATATATACACACACACACACACAAAAAAAAAAAAACACACACACAAAGAACTAACAAAAAAAAAGCTCCTAGAAGTAATAAATGAGTACAATAAAGTGTCAGGATACAAAACTAACATACCAAAATCTACAGCATTTCTATACACCAACAGTGAATAAACTGAGCTAGAATTGGAGAAAGCAATTCCATTTACAATAGCCACAAACGAAATAAAATATCTAGGACTAAACCTAACCAATGACCTCAAAGACTTCTACAAGGAAAACTAAGAAAAACTAAAAAAGAGGAATTGAAAATGACACAGAAAAGTAGAAAGACATCCCATGATCCCAGGTTGGAAGAATTAATATAATCAAAATGTCTATTCTACCCAAATTAATTTAAAGTAATCACAATCAAATTACCAGAGATATTCTTCACAGATTTAGAAACAACAATCACAAAATTCACCTAGAATCATAAAAGATCCTGTATTGTAGAAGTCATCCTGTGCAAGAAAAGCAGAGTAAGAGGTATCTCACTTCCTGACCCCAAAATATTACAAAGCCATGATAATCAGAACAGCATGGCATTGGCATGTGGACCAATGGAACAGAACAGAGATCCCAGAAATAAACCCCAAAATGGACAGCCAACTGATTTTTGACAAAGTGTAACAGTAAATCGAGTAAGAAAAAGAAAATCTTTTTAGCAAATGGTGCTGGAAGAATGGGATATCCACCTGCAGAAAGATGAAACTAGATCCCTGTCTTACACCATTAACAAAAATCTACTCAAAATGTATCAAAGATCTAAACCTAAGACCTCACACTATAAAACTACTGGTGGAAAACACAGGCAAAAACTTTCAAAATAAGACCTGTAAAGCACAGGCAATAAATCTGAAAACAGACAAATGGGATTCCATCAGGTTAAAAAGCTTCAGTTAAACAAAAGAAACAAGTGAAGAATGAACCAGCAACCCTCGGAATGGGAGAATATATTTGCAAACTACACCTTGGGCAAGAGACTGGTAACTAGAAGATATGGGGAACTCAAGCAGCTAATGAAGGAACAATTTATGTTGTGTACATTTATGGCAGCCTTGAGAAAAACATGCTATCTATCTTCAATAAAATAACCATAAAACAAGTATATGGTTCTTCTGCTTTATGCTACTGAGAACTAGGAAACAGAAGCCTAATATAAAAACATCCTATGCAGTTTACAAAAAAGGATAAGCAGATTTATAGAAGCAATGTCATAGCAAATGGGCTATTACTCATGTAAAAAAATTATAATCATTTATTAATAGTTATTTGTAGTCACTATTTCCTTAAAAAAGATAGTTTAGTTAATTTAAGAAAGTATTTTGGCAGATCACTTGTCCTTCAATGTTGTAATGCAAATGTATTTTCAAAGAAAAATTTCATTCTTAAACTAAAAAATTATGATCTTTCACAGTGTTACTGACAAGATTTACATGATTCATGAATCTAACTTTGGTCAAATACATCTACAGAGAGGCATAAAATTACCTTTAGAATGGAAATTTGAGAAAAATCCTTCTCTTCAAAATATGCATGTGTAATGAGTTGAAGTTTTGCTTGAAGTAAGCCAAAGAGAGGCTTTAAAAGGAAAGAAATAAAAAAGAAATTACCATGAGGTTGATAAGAGTAAGTCAAAATACTACAACTTTTTAATTTGGAAAGAAGGGGGAAAAAGGTAGTAACTCAATTTTAGTGCCATTGTATTTACAACTGAAAGCTGTGCTGTTCCCTGTTCTAGCTCTTTAGATCCAGGTGAAAACACCTGTAAACACTCACAGGACACACCCCACACCAAGTTGTAGATCTGAACATGGTTATGTGAAAAGACAGTACATCCTACATAGGTGTTTTAAAGACTAAACAATTAAAAACATTTAGAGTGGGGCCAGCAGGTGGCATGGTGGTTAAGCTGCTAAATTTCCACATGGTTGACCATATGTGAATCCCAGACCCAATGGTTTAAAAATCACAACAGGGGACCAGCAGTTGGTGTAATGGCTATGTCACTGAACTCCCATGTAGTCAACCATAGTTTAAGTCTCGGACCTGGTGGCTTAAATTGACGCCGGGCGCATGTGTATGCATGCCCAAGATTCCAAGAGGAGAATGAAGGAGAAGGGATTGCAATCACCCCCAAGAAGGGTGATTTCTCGCTTTCTGTCTCTCTGTCTCTGTCTTTCTGGTGAGCACACATGCCCTATAGCAAAAAAAACTCAAAATAACTAAATAAATTAAAATTAAAATTAAAAAAATCACGACAGTACCCAATAGCATGTTTAAAACATTGTACACCATGACCAGGGATGCAAGGATGGTTCAACATACGCAAAAACATAAATGTAATATACCATATTAACAGAAAGAAAAAACCATATGATCATATCAACTGATACAGAAAAAGCATTTGATAAAATACAACATCCCTTCATGATTAAGACTCTCAGCAAAATTGGCATAGAAGGGACATTTCAACACAATAAAAGCAATATATATGTTTTTTTAAATAAAAAACCATTGCTAACATCATACGTAATGGAACAAGACAAGGATGACCACTTTCTCCACTCCTTTTCAATATAGTATTGGAAGTCCTAGCTAATGGAATCAGACAAGAGAATAAAATAAAAAGCATTCAAGTAAGGAAAGAAGTGAAATAATCTGTTTACAGATGACATAATTATATATATACACACACACACACACAAAAAAAAAAAAACACACACACAAAGAACTAACAAAAAAAAAGCTCCTAGAAGTAATAAATGAGTACAATAAAGTGTCAGGATACAAAACTAACATACCAAAATCTACAGCATTTCTATACACCAACAGTGAATAAACTGAGCTAGAATTGGAGAAAGCAATTCCATTTACAATAGCCACAGACGAAATAAAATATCTAGGACTAAACCTAACCAATGACCTCAAAGACTTCTACAAGGAAAACTAAGAAAAACTAAAAAAGAGGAATTGAAAATGACACAGAAAAGTAGAAAGACATCCCATGATCCCAGGTTGGAAGAATTAATATAATCAAAATGTCTATTCTACCCAAATTAATTTAAAGTAATCACAATCAAATTACCAGAGATATTCTTCACAGATTTAGAAACAACAATCACAAAATTCACCTAGAATCATAAAAGATCCTGTATTGTAGAAGTCATCCTGTGCAAGAAAAGCAGAGTAAGAGGTATCTCACTTCCTGACCCCAAAATATTACAAAGCCATGATAATCAGAACAGCATGGCATTGGCATGTGGACCAATGGAACAGAACAGAGATCCCAGAAATAAACCCCAAAATGGACAGCCAACTGATTTTTGACAAAGTGTAACAGTAAATCGAGTAAGAAAAAGAAAATCTTTTTAGCAAATGGTGCTGGAAGAATGGGATATCCACCTGCAGAAAGATGAAACTAGATCCCTGTCTTACACCATTAACAAAAATCTACTCAAAATGTATCAAAGATCTAAACCTAAGACCTCACACTATAAAACTACTGGTGGAAAACACAGGCAAAAACTTTCAAAATAAGACCTGTAAAGCACAGGCAATAAATCTGAAAACAGACAAATGGGATTCCATCAGGTTAAAAAGCTTCAGTTAAACAAAAGAAACAAGTGAAGAATGAACCAGCAACCCTCGGAATGGGAGAATATATTTGCAAACTACACCTTGGGCAAGAGACTGGTAACTAGAAGATATGGGGAACTCAAGCAGCTTACCTGAAAAAAAAAAAAATCAACCCAATTAAAAGAGAGGAAAATGAGCTGAACAGACATCTCTCTAAGGAAGACATACGACTGGCCAGAGTATATGAAAAAATGTTTAACATCCCTTATCATAAGGGAGATGTAAATCAAACCACAGTGATACCACCTAAACCCAGTCAGAATGGCTAAGATTAAAAAAATAAACAATGGTAAGTGCTGGCAAGACTGTGGTGAAAAGGAAACTTCCTTCACTGTTGGTGAGACGGTAAATTAGTACAGCCACTGTGGAGAACAATATGGAGGTTCCTAAAAGACCTACAAATAGAACTACCATATGATCTAGCATTTTTGCTCCTGGGTATCTACTGAAAGGATAAAAAAAATGCTCAATTGAAAACGCACTTGCTCATTTGCACATCCATGTTTATTGCAGCATAATTCACAATTGCTTAGACATGGAACAAACCCAATGTCCACAAACGGATGAATGGATTAAAAGTGTGGCACATATACATTGTGGAATACTTCTCAGCCATAAAAAACAAGACCCTGGCATTTGACAGAAAGTGGATAAATATGGAAGATTTACTGCCCAGTGTAGCAAGTCAAACTATGAAAGAGAGGCACTGTATGTCCCCACTTATTATATATATCAAATGTCTCCACTCTATGCAGAAACTAAAAGATTAGAAGATACAGAAGCATAAGAACGTTGTGGATACTGGAGAGAGTGAAGGAGGAGAGGAGAAGGTGGGGGAGTGTGAAAGGAAAGGAATCAAGGAGAAAAATAGAGACAAGACATTTAAAGGACACAGAAATAGAAGATTATCTACTACAGTAGATAGTCAAGATATGAAATCAACCTAAGTGTACATCAATAAATGAAGGGAAAAGAAAATGTGATAATAATGTGTATGATATCTTTAACTGGACTGATGTGTAGTATATTAACACTGGGAAAAATTCATTTTACAAGCTGTGGTGATATAGTGATTGAATGTAGGAAATAAAATAAAAACAAAGAAAAAAATCACAAATTTTTTAAATGTTAAAAAATAGTAATAAAACACTTGAGAGTATTTGACACATAGAAAACACTATAACATTAGCTATTATTATAAGATTTAAAACATATTCTAATTCTGTACACTGTTCTGTGGCATGGATTTCAAATCTCTTTTGCATCAAAATAAACTTGTAATTTACTTCCATTTTCCTATGAATTTTTTGAATTTCTCATCTTTAAGGTCCTTATCTACCATTTTCTCATCTTTCATTTTTTTTTTTTTTTAAGATTTTTGCTATAGAATGCATGTGTTTGCCAAAGAGAGAGGGAAAGTGAGAAATGATCCTTCTGGGGACACTGTCACACAATTTCTTCTCCATTCTCCTCTCAACACCCTGGACATGCATGCCGGCAAATGTGCCCAGTATGTTTTCTTTTCTTCTTTTTTTTATTTTCATGTTTTTTAAATAGGGCATATGCACTCACAAGAGGCAAGGGGAAAGTGAGAAATCAGCCCCCATGGTAGACAGCCACCTCACAATCCATTTTCCTCTATTCCCCTGGGATTTGGGGCATGAACAAATACACGCTCAATGTGATTTTCAAGTTGCCAGGCCTAAGACTTGAACCACAGACAGTCATGTGGTTATCCAGCACTTTAATCACCACGGTACTTGATGGCTCTGGCCTAGTGTGTTTTCAAGCTGCCAGGCCCAAGAATCAAACTGTGCTGTCAGCCATGTGAGAATCAGTCACTTTAACCTCCATGTCACCTGCTGGCCTCTTTGGGCTATATTTTTACATGGAGAATTACACATTTGAAATCAACAACAACAAAAAAGAATTAGTCATTTGATGTGCTGGTGAGGATGAAGAGAAAAAGGCACTCTTTTATAATTTTTTTTTAATTTAACTTTATTTAATTAACTAATTGATTAATTTGACCAGAGAGAGAAAGAAAGTGAGAAAGCAAGCCGCCAGGTCCAGGACTTGAACTGTGGTCAGCCATGTGGGAGTCCAGCATCTTTAACCACCATGTCACCAGCTGGCCCCCTTTGCTCCCCCCACCCCTCTGTTTTTTTTAAGAAAGAGGAACTTTTAAATTTTTTTTTGGAGAGAGAGATTTTTGCTATAGGGCATCTATGCTCACTTAAGAGACAGAGACAGAAAGCAAGAGATCACTACCTGAGGGGATGGCCATGCTGTAAGCCCTTCTCCATTTTCTTCTCAGGATTTTAGGCACACACACACACACACACACACACACTGCTGTGAGTTTTAAGCCTGGGCCCAGGTCTTGAACTACGGTTGACAAGGTGGGAGTCAAACAACATAACCATTATGCCATCTGCTGGTCCCAAGAGGAACTTTTTTATACTCTTGGTGGGAATGTAAATTAGCCATTATGGAAAGAGTATGCAGATTCCTCAAAAAGCTAAAAGTAGAACTATCTTACGATCCATCAATCCCACTACTAAGCCTATATTCAAAGGAAAGAAATCAGTATGTCATAAAGGTATCTGCACTCCAAAGTTTTTTGCAGCACTATTCACGATAGTCAAGATATGGAATCAACCTAAGTGTACATCAATAAATGAAGGGAAAAGAAAATGTTGACTATGTATGTAAATCTATATCCATATGGACACACACACACATATATATCCATACATACACACACACACACACACATAATGAAATACTATTCAATCATTAAAAAAAGAATGAAATATGCCATTTGAAGCAACATGGATGAGCTTGAAGATATGTTAAGTGGAAAAAAGCCAAGCATAGACAGAGAAATACTGCATGTCCTTACTCACATGTAGAAAATGAAAAAGATGAGCTCAAGAAGT